TGCAACTAGGCTTGAATCTCAGTTTCGACTAACTTACATAATGATCCTTCATCTCCTGCGTGTTGAAGAGTTGAAGGTACTACTAATTTCAGATTTTGGATTTTATCTGCTGGTTACAAGTTTGTAACATCTTCCTATAAATAGACTTTGGAGGGTTAGATGTTTATTTCCATTTATGATTATCAGATTATTTAATTTCTTGCGTTTGATATCATGATATTGTGGCATGGTGACAGATTTTTGTGATGTTGTGGGGGGGGGGGGGGGAAGGGAGAGGGGGAGGCACATGCACATGCTAAAAACAATTACATCCACATAGGTGCTGACAGTGCCAAGAGCAAACTCCTGGCCTCTGTTTTTGTATCTAATATTCCATTTTGAAAATTTGAAGTGGTTGTTATGAAGACCTCCTTATTATCTTCTGAGAGATTATAGTTTATTGTTTACCTCTGCAGTTCATTCAACTCTGTTTATAAAGAGAAAAGAAAATGTGGATAAATATAATCTCAAGAAAAGAATATCCCTTTGAGATTTGTGAATGTAGCTGAGATGAATTCTGAATTTGGCTCATTCGGATATTTTTGCCAATTTGTATCCTAATCAGCAAAAGTCTCATATGTGATTGTAAAATGGTAAATCTTTCAGAGTTTGTGTTACATACATTATGTTGTTTGGGTGCATTCTTAGTTGAAATTCATGTTGGTGTTTGTATTGTGGCATCTGTTTTCTTATCTTGATATATTACTGAGGCACGCATAGACTTGTATGGTTTCCCCACTATAAAAACTTTTTAATTATTAGTCTGAATTAACAGTTATTGAGGTTAAAGTTTTCTGAAGCAATTTCCAATGATCTGTTATCTCATCAACATTACTGTTATCTATTACTGTATAGGTGGAGGACATGTTGAAAAGAAGTTTTGCTGAATTTCATGCCCAGAAGAAGCTTCCAGAAAAGCAGCAATTACTAATGCGGAAACTTGCCCAACAAACCAAAGTTGAGTAAGTATGTCAAGGGTGAAATCTTGATCACGTCAACTTTGACATGGATACGGATTGTTAGATGTGTGTCAATGGTTTAAGCTCTTAGATTGTGTCTGGATGAAGAACTCATTATCATCTTCTTGGGAAGTAGATTGAAAGTTCTTTCAATTTCTTACATTTCAAAATTCTCTACTTGGGTTATACTTCGTAGTTTTTCTCTTCTACTTCTCTCTCGGACGCTCAGCCATATTTTGTTGTACAATAATCCATAACCAGTAAATACAGCAATAAACAAAAACCAGTTAATAGAAAACTCATTGAAAATTCAGTATCCAATCAGGATTCATGAAGGCGCACAGTGTATAGTTTTGGAAGTTTGAGCCATTAATCTTCACTCAGGCTTTTAACAAAAGGCAGAGTAATGAAGGTGGCTTGGCAACAAGTTAGATCCTGGTTGCAGCCTACACTACTGCCATGGCGAGGACCATGGCTACAATCCCATCCAACAGTATGGCATTGGAGAAATGTCCAAAATGTTTCAGCTGTGATAGAGAGAGATCTTTAAAGAAGTCCACCTATTTAGACAGACGGTTAAGTGGAGATTTTTCTTGCCCAAATTGCCCAAAATTATGTGTTGCCAAAAAAGAAACTTCTAAGGAGGCTTTTCAAATGATCACTTACAATAAAAGACCTTTACAAGTGTCTATCCAAACACATCTTACTGTCATGATTTGTCTCTGTCTCTGTCTGTCTGTCTCTCTCTCTCTCTCTCTCTCTCTCTCCTTCTTCTTCTTCTTCTTCTTCCTCTTTCTCAGTGAATAAAGATTGATCTCCAGTTCAGTTGTTTCTGATTTGGCATCCAATAGTCTTAAGACAATGATACTTCGCTTGATCATTGGAAGTTATCATTTTTGCTTTGGAACATTGTGTCTCGTGCTACATTTTCATAGTTTATAATGTGTGGCTGTTTGCATATAGATGTATTAAAGGTGAACCGGCAATTGAGGAGTACTATGAGATGTGTGCAGAAGCTGAGAAATACCACAATCAGATATCAAAAGCTGTCATGCAGTCTCCTCTTGCCCAACAATTTCTTACACCTGGCAGAGTAGTTGTCATGAAATCACAATCAGTGAGTTCTAAAACATAGTTACTATGTGCGTTGATATATTTTTAGTTTGTTTCATCATCTTCTGGATAGCAACCATTTTATGTGCTTATTATTAACTTCTATATTTTGTTTCTGTGCTTGTGAATCGCTCGTTAAGCTAATAGTTCTTCTTTTCGGAAATTTTAGTAACATTCTTCTGATTTGCATTAAGTTACTTGCAGATCGTGATATTTGTTTAATGTCTATATTTGATTGCTGGCATTTCCAAAAAACAAATATATATATGATTGCTGGTGAAATGGCATACGATAACCAGTTTGAGAAGTCTGCCAGGAGTCTGGTGGGTGTGATATTCTTGGTCTTTTGAGGAAAAAAAGGGGACATGAAGTTTTTAATTACATTATAATTTCCCCAAGCAATTATATCCTTATTTATTCTCATCTCATATGAGATGGAAATAGGCCATGCTCATGCTGTTGTATGCTAGATCTCATTCGAGGTGTACCTGTTCTATTAATTTCACCATATTGTCCCACCAAGCAATATATCCTCTTATTGAACTACATGTACATGACCTTTATTTCATGAAGTTACAACTCTAATTAATAGATCTGTGCGTGTAGTGTCTATATTTATGTCTTTACTGATTGACAGGATGGGGATCACTTACTAGGAGTTGTTTTGAAAGGATCTTCAGCCAGTAACAAACAGTACATTGTTTTAGTGCTGAAACCTGACATACCATCAGTGTCTCAAAGTCCTGCGGGTGGTGATAACAAAAGTTCCAATTTACCACAAGGTTATTTTATGTTACCAAAAACAAAACGCACTTTCGAAGATGAGTATTTTTCTTCAGTTGCTTCGCGTAAAGGGTCAGGTGCAGTGAACTTAAAATTACCACACCATGGTACTGCAGCTGGTGTGAATTATGAGGTTAGAGGGTTTGATAATCAGGAATTTTTATGCATATGCAATTGCAAGATAAAGGTTGATCAAGTTAGGCTCCTTGAAGTTGTTAGCAATGCTGCTTTCTCTCAGACAGCTCAGCAGCTATTGGATTTAAAATCCAAAGGAGTCAAATACCCACCAGCCTTAGATCCATTAAAAGGTATGGCTGCCATTCAATTAACATATTATTTTGACAATTTGGTGGCACAGTTAAACTGCATAATGTGTCATTTAGTCTGGCTGGAGATAAAAGATGCAGCATAATTTTTTTATATGATGCAGTTCTAATTTGGAGCTTGCTAGCACACGGTAACAATTTCTAGACTTAGAAGCATTCGGTAAATTTAGTTTCCGGTGAATACTAATACATTCATTATAAATTTAGTGGCAAAAAATGTTCTTTCTTTGTCAACAGAGTTGCTTATTCGTCTCTTGGTAAAACTGGTAATGAAATAGAAACAGGAAGTTCAACAGAGTTGCATGCTAGGTGGTTATGGCTGTGTTGCTTGAGTTGCTTCTTAGGAAGTCTTTGTTGGAAGTACTAGCTGAAAATAAAACCTCAGTCTACAAATTCATACTATTCTAATATGTAGTGGTAATTTTCTGAGTTGTCTGTTGGCATTGGTAATTTTCTGAGTTGGCTATCTATATGATCAATTTAAAATTGTTAATTCCAGAATATCTACAGAACATAAATTAGTAACATATCTGACTATTAGAAAGGAATCAATGTTTTTGAAGGCACATTTGTGGCATTGATAATTGGTAAACATGGATTTAATCTGACTGTTAACCTGGTGACAATTTTTGTTCTTTCATCTTTTGTTTGGTTTCAGATCTGAAGTTGAAAGATGTAAATCTTGTGGAAACATACTACAAATGGACTCATCTATTGCAAAAGATGTCAACAAATAAATGCCATGGGTGTGTAAAATTGGAAGAGCACCTTAAGTTAGCAGAAAGTATTTCTAGGCACAATGAGGAAGTTAAATCTCTTATGTTCCAAATGTCTGATGAAGCACTTCAGCAGATGCCTGAATTTCAGGGCCGGGTATGTCTATGTTAGCATGTTTCTTACTTTTTGTGCTTTTCATCAGTTAAAAGTGTGGTGTCATTTCCTTGGTACATTCTCTGAACTTTGTAGAACTCTTTCACAGATAGATGTTCTCAAGGAAATTGGATGCATAGATGCTGATCTTGTAGTTCAAATTAAAGGTCGTGTTGCTTGTGAGATGAATTCAGGGGAGGAGCTGATATGTACAGAGTGCTTATTTGAGAATCAACTTGATGACCTGGAGCCTGAAGAAGCAGTTGCATTAATGTCAGCCTTTGTATTTCAGCAAAAAAATACATCTGAGCCTTCTCTTACTCCCAAGCTATCTAAAGCAAGGCAGAGGTTTAATGCTTTATTTTGGTTTATCCTCTGTTTTACTATTTTTTCTTAACGTTTTAGTGTTTGTTTCTTATTTCATGCTTGGCACTAACCTTTATGCTGTATGCCATTTGATTTAGACCTAAAAAAGTTAAAAAATTTACTCATAAAGACTGCCATCGAAGTCCATGCTTGTAGAGTGCTCCAGAACTCACTAGTTTCTGAGTAATCACATTGAAGATGATCATGATACAAGTAACATAAATATTTTATCCGGCGCCAATCTTGAGTTTCAAATTTCTTTCTTGATTTGTTGCTGTTGTATGTGAATGAGGTTCTTATAAAAATCTGCCACCGTTCTAAATTCCTCATCTTTTAAGCTGTGTACTTACATTTGGTTAGATGAGTGGTTAAGTCTCATGCAATTCTTTGTTGTAATGGGGCAGTTTTCATTAGTTGAAGCACGATAAATATTATTCTTTCCCTGAGTTCCATTCTAATTCAAAGTATTATATCTATAGATTGTACTTGACAGCAATGAGGCTTGGGGAACTTCAAGCCGAGTTCAAACTATCAATAAACCCGGAAGAGTATGCAAAGGAGAATCTTAAATTTGGTCTTGTACAAGTCGTCTATGAATGGGCAAAGGTTCGCTTTCTTAACAACACACACCAATACACACATCATAGTTAACAAGAAGTTTCTTTTGGCATAGCATTGACACCGTGACTTTTCTTCTTCTGGCAGGGAACTGCATTTGCCGATATCTGTGAACTTACGGATGTTCCTGAAGGCCTGATAGTGAGGACTATTGTGAGGTTGGACGAAACCTGTCGTGAATTCAAAAATGCAGCATCTATCATGGGCAACTCTGCGCTCTATAAGAAAATGGAACTTGCATCAAATGCCATAAAGCGCGATATTGTTTTTGCAGCTAGCTTGTACATCACCGGAGTCTGAATACGCTGAAGCTTCATTAGATTTGCCCTTTGGATTCTGCTAGCGGATGTGTAAAATCAGATCTTAGAAATATAAAATCTCTCTCTGCTGGCTGTGTCTGTACATTAATTCTCTCTGCTATTTGTATCAGAACATTACTCCCTTGTGATTTTTGTTCCATAGAAGTTGAACTTGAGATGTGAAAAAGAACAAATAGGGATAGCTGAAAACATTTAGGAGACCAAATTTTCGTTTTATAGTTTATAAAGCGGGAAATGACATCTTTCTTGTGTGGAATTCTAATTTTTCAACAATAGTATATTGGGAAGCAAGTGTACTTATTAAATAATTTTATATTAAATTAAAATATCGATTATTGTTGATTTTTTTAAAAATTTTATTTATTATTTTTTATGCTATTATATTTAAAATATTTATAAAATTTTTAATTTATATAAATTTTTTTATTATATTATAATTTTAATTATATAATATTAAATAATAAATTAAAATAATTAAATAATAAAATATAGTAATAAAGAAGTGAATTAGAGTTTGCGGTGCTTATAATATTTTAAAGTTTTTTTTTTTAAAATTTTATATAAAAATATAATTTTAAAAGCCGACAATTATATATAACATCATAATCAAAATATTTAATTTTTATATATTATATCATGTTATATTTAGTCTAACAGGATTTTTTATTTTATAATTTAAATTATAAATCAAAAGTTTGATTTATTTAATATATTTATAAGTTAAATATTTATACAGAATTTATTTTTAAAAAATGTTTTAATTATGTTTAATATTGATCATCAAGGAAAATGATTTATTATTTTTTTAAGATAATATTATTATTTTGTGCATACATATATAAATATAATTTTTTTTATAAATAAATTAAAAAATAATTTTAAAACATATCACGAAATTTATAAGTATCAATATGTAATGATTGTTAAATATGTAGATAAAAAATTATTTCAAATTTTAACCGTTTATTTGAAATTTTAGAAGGTAAGACACGGCTACTAATATTTATAAAATTTTTTATTTTTTAAGTGTCTAATTTTTTTTAATTTAATTTATCGAAAAAATACATTGCACACCTCTTTATTAAGTAATTTATTTTTAATTTTTTATTTATTTTATTATTTAATGATACTTTTAACGAGGACATACATAAAAACATAATTTGACTTAAATTCATAGATTTGTAGTGAAAATACTAATAATTCAGCTAAATAATAATTGGTTCTTTATAGATTTTTATAATTTAAAAAACATGATTATTTATTGGTTCCTTTGGCCAGTTGCAAGTTACAAATCAAGTAATTGACCGCAGGGGAATATAACCCCAGAAGTTGGCATAAGGCGGGATTCCGTACTTGTAGCGCTTTTGTCCTTATCCTGCCCATTTTCATTCCCTACTCATTTCATGCAACTCTGTGGCCGCTGCTCTGCACGCTCCCTCAGCTTCTGTTACGTGCAGGCACCTTGCGAAATGCGTTGAAAAATCCCACTTCGTAATTACAGAATCTGTGGTTTCCCCCTGTTTCCCTTTGCCGCTCTCTCCGTCTTCTCTCCAATCGCTCCGCCATGGATGATGACGTCGGGTTCAATAGTCGCCTCATGTAACTCGTCTTTCAAACTCTACGTTCATGGCGTTTACTTTTTTCTTGACTGATTCTAGATCGGTATTTTTTGGGCTTTTTTATTGGTTAATTTTGCAGGTTTGAAGCGTATCTGTACGACTATCTGAAAAAGAAGAACATGCACCAAACGGCCGAGATTTACAGGAAGGAAGCCAATCTCGAATTTGATCCTGACTTCCGTCCAGGTTTTTCTTGTGACTAACAGCCCTTTTGCTTTCTTTGATAAACTGATTAAACATCTTTGAAATTTTAAACCCCGATGTGCATTTTTTTAATAATTATTTTAGTATGTTGGGTTCAAATGTTGAGACAATTATTTATCCCAACTGATACATGTCTAATATATTTATCTGGGATTTGATTTCAACTTTTTACTTAACGGGGCTGAAAAATGGCGGGGCCGTTCGATTTTTATTTGTCTTCTCTGTTATATGAGTATGTTTTCTTACGACATATGAAAAATGGAGGTTTATGGTAATCTAAATGGAGGGGATGTTAGATTTGTAATCTAAAATTTTTTGAATGGTTTATGATAGGTGATTGGTGCTTCTTTAAATTAACTTTGTGACATTTAATGGTGATTAAATTGTACTATTTGTTATTATTGGGGTTTATCAAAATTAGCAAATTCTTTTTTTTTTTTTTTGTCACTGTTTGGGTAAATTCGACAAAATTGGAATTTCTATGATTATGATAATGAGATAAGGATTCATTCTTTTAGTTAATTGATTTAGGAGAATCTTAAATCATTTCATCAACCTAGTACTTATGAAGACTTTAGAACAGTTGGGCAGTTTTTCATTTGATTAAAGGCTATTTCATTATCATTTTTCTCTTTCGAAAGAGTATCTTCACCTCCTGTTTATTTTACTGCTCTGATTTATGCTAATATTTCTTGGTTCTTTGTGGTAAAATACTGCTTGGTAGAGAGCATAACTTGTTTCCCCTCAGCTATGGACATCCCAGGTGGTTTTCTGCAAGAATGGTGGTCGATATTCTATGACTACTTCAACTCCCAGCAACAAGGGGGTAATAATCAAAGGAATGATTCCCTAATTATGGTGAGGGTCACACTGCTTGTATATAATTTATAACTGCTTTCATATCTTATGCTATTTTATTCACCATTATGTTTTGTCCTCAACTTTGGCTTAATAAATAGTTTGAACAAATGATGGAAACTCTGCAACAAACCAATGCTTCTCCATCAAATGAGATCAGTTCGCAACAAACCAGTGCTTCTTCGTCGAAGAAGATCAATCTCCAACGAACTGATGGTTCTCTATCGAATAAGAACAATTCGCAACAAAACATTGCTTCTCCATTGAAGAAGATCAATCTGCAACAAACCAATGCTTCTCTATCGAATAAGAACAATCCGCAACAAAACATTGCTCCTCTATTGAACAAGATCAATGCACAACAAGTCAATACTTCTCTCTTGAACCAGCTCAATCGGAATGAGAACACAATTGACCAATTAGCTCAGGGTGCTTCTGGTACTTGCTTGACATCCTTCTTTAACTATCTGGGTGGTTCAGGATGCAATATTGGAGATATAAATGAATAATTTCTTAAAACTTATGTTAGTAGTCAGCTTTTGGAGCAATCGGTAATTAACATTTAGCATATCTCACACCCAAACAGTTTGTTGAATAGATTTATATACTTTTATAATTTATAACATATAACTTTCGAAGTGTCAGTCTCATGGCAATGTTTATGATATAGTTTTGATGTCAAGGTAATTGATTATTGGCAATTGATTATGTGAAATGGAATTAGGAGACAATGTGCAGTTCTGTTTTCGTGACATTGCATAACGAATGGTGGTGTCTGCATCTTTTTACTTGCCAGTAGATCTGTGTGCTAGTCTCCTTTGTACTTAGAAGGCTGAGGTCTTTTATTTTACCAATCGTCACTGTTCTCCAAATTATTACCTTAATGGATTCTGAAACACAAGCTTCAAGCAAGAAATCTGTTAACCATAACCTTGTTGATTTTTGCTTCGCTCCTCTGAGTCTGGTGGTTCCATCTTCTTCCCCTTTCTTCCCTATTACTTTCATATCAAGTTTCTTGTCTTTTCTTAAAGGCAGTCTTTTCCATTGTACCATGACTAGTAAAATCTTGGGACAACATGTTGGGATTAGCTGTTGCCAAAGGAAGTTTTGGAGATATGTTGGAACAGGATAAGTGTAGGCTTTTTCAGCTGATATTAAATTTTCAAATATGTTGCGAAGTGCTTTTGTGCTGATCCATTTGACCTTTCTGAATGCTTGATATCTATATAAGCAGGACTGATCATGAAGCAAAATGCAATGGGGTCAATGATGGGGCCTTCAACTGTAAGCATAGTTTTGGATACGATGTTTTTCAGCTTCCTCTGCCTGGGATTTGTTAATCTAGTACATTCTCATTCCAACTTTTGCTTGTATTGCAGGAAGCTCAGAGAGTTGAGGTTGTTGCGTTGCCTTCACATCAGCAAGAGCCATTGAAATTTTCATCATCAAGATCTACTTCATCATCAATCTTTCCGGGAATCCCTGCAAAGCCTATGGGACAAGAAGCAGCTTATTCTGGTCATGCAGCAACGAATTGTTTCATACTTCCATCTGAGATTTCACAGGTGTCAGCAGGATATCGGAAACGCTGCTGGGACTTAGAATTTGCTAAAGTAGTGAGCTTTAACCATCTCCAAGATTTGAATTATACAAATGCCATATTGCAGACAGACAAATAAAATTGGAACATGGGTTTCAAATTGATTTTGATATTTATATTTTTCATCTAAAGTGTTAATTGGAGATGCATAGAGTTGTTTTTAAGAAATGTGTCTCTTTCTTTTCATTTTTACTAGATTTAAACCCTCCTAAAATAACTGATTTTTCTCTATCGTTTATATTTACTATTTCCCCCCTCTATGATAATGGAATAATAACCCAACTGACAAAGTTATATGGTTACCTGTGATTCCTTTTTATCAGAATGGCCGAGAAATTAGGAACCAATCAGATTCTCGAGGTCCAAGAAGCAGTAGGATTGGAGTTCCTCCTTCAATTTCAGAAACTCCAGAAGCAAAGTTGCTTGCCGTGGACAATAGTAGAAGATCGGTTTCTTCACATAACAAGGAGAAGAAAAATATGGCTGATGATGTCTACAAGAAGATAACATGATGGTACTTTGTTATTACTTCTCTGCGGAAAATTCACTATGAAAAATGCATGAAAATTGCTACATGACTAGGACTGTAATTTAGTACAATTAATGACAAATAACATTTTCCTAAACATGTCATGATGTGCATTGAACACATGCAGCAAGAAAAAATCCCTTTGAGACTTGACTTTTCTCGATGAAAATCCTTTTTGAGACTTTGGATAATAGTTGGCTGCCAATAGATTTGACACTAGACCAAGAATTCCCATATCTTTTTAGTCCTCTTGATTGATAAGATAGATAATCCCGTGATGCATATAGATGTGTGAAAAGAGTTTTTATGTTATCGTGCTTTTTTTTAGTACTTACATGCTAGAGCTGATAGCTTCAGCCTCTGATAAATTTGTGAATATGAATGTTTGGAATAAATTAAGAATTTTTGCAGAATTCATTTGGAAATTCTCACCTAGTTTAATTTGGAGAATGAGAAAATTTTATCTAAAATGATGAAGATTGAGCATCTCTTTTGCATCTTATTTCTTTCATTTTTTTCTCTGAAAAAATTAGGCTCATGGGGATTCCAAATTCTATCAAAATTTGGTAATGTTTATATTCGACATTTACTCTAAAATTCCCAGAAGCTCAATTTTCATTATTTTCTAATAAAATTTTCCTCTGTCCTGATTAAGGGCAAATTTCCAATTGAATTCCACAATAATTCTATATTTGTTATAAACAAAGCCTAAATATGTCAACTTAATTTCTGTTCCATTTTGGCATTTATAAATAGTAAACTTCAAGTTGAAGTCTAATTGTTGAACTTTTCCTCGCAGTCAATCAAGTAGTGGAATGCAATAAAGGGGTAAAGATGGTCTAATTCTGCATTAACAGATTTCATTGTGCCAAAAGGTTGCCAGGGGTGAATTTGACCTATATGGAAAGCTACTGAAATAAGGCGTTTTCCTTTTTTTTTAATATGTCCATGTGTTCCAATTTCTCTGTAAAAATAGGCCAGTTGTCTCTGAAATGACTAATTGGTAAACAGCATCTATAGTTATAGGCGGTAAAAAATTCTTCAAAATTGTGCTAATGGTGGTAAAGGATAAGGTACTAGTTTCAGCGGGAGATATCAATAGTTTTTCTTAGGGGAGATGTGCATGTTTATGCTTGTCTTATAAACAGACATGCATGATCTGAATGGCCTTGATCTCTGACTTTGCATTATAAGCATGAACCTGTTTGTCTTTTTCCTCCCTCTTTTAGGGATATGGCCGATCATCATATACTGTACAGATTGCTTATTCATGTGAAGTTATAGTCGTGTTCCTTTCCTCGCTTAACCCAGTAAATTGCTGATGCTTTAAATATCAATATGAAATCAGAACTTTGTGAATCTTGGATGATCTCTAGGAAATCATGTAAGGTTTGAATTGTTGTTCCCTTTTATTCTCACATTTGTTGCTCAGTGCTACTATATCTGACAATTGGTTGCTGCCTTCGTAAGCATTATTTGGTGATCTAGTTCTATTATTTAAAGGAAGTGTTACACGAGTGTAATTGCTATGCACATTTGAATATGAGTTTAAGTGTCTTTAGAATTATGTATTCTGTATATATGTGTTGAAGAAACCTATGAGGTTGTGGAAAATGAACTTGAACAAAATTCTTTACATGATTACAGTTATTATTCCTCCTTATCTGTGCTTGTGTTTTGATTTGACATTTTTTCAAACACACACATTTAGATATGTATTCCAATAGAAACATTTTCTTAAAGAGATCGTGTTTGGTAATAACACCTTTTCATTGCTCAGTTTACTTCTTTTCTTTTTGTTATGTTATGCTTCATTAGAATTGACCATGGAATGTATATGCAGTTATGTATTTGTCCAATGGATTCGCTTACGAGAGAGTTCAAAAGCAAATTGATATGTTTTTCCGATATATGTTTAGGCAAAACTTCTCTCCCCCTCTTTTTAGATGATTACGGTCCATTCAGTTTCAGAATTTGTTTTCAATTTTCTATCTGTTGGAAAATCATCAAACCTTTTTTATGTGTTTGTTTTTCTTTCTCCAGGCTAAACAGCGTAAGTTTTTCTTAGATTAAGCACATCATTTATTTATTTTTAAAAGGTTGAAAAATTTTCTTTGAAAATCAGAATTTTTCCAATATCTAAATTAACCTCCTAAGATTTCTTAGAATTCCTCCTTGTTAAAACTCTTTTTTTGGTAGGGATGCTTACCTTGGCCAAATGTGTAGTGGCCTCGCCATTTTCAAGTTGACTCCACAAGGTTGGTGTCTTCGTGCTGGGAAACAATTCATATTTGCACCTTTTGAGTTAGAAGTTGTAAATGGGTTCATACTGTAATCTTTGGCTCAGTGAGCATGGGGGGTTGTTGGGAACCATTAAGTTAAACGAGGGCTGCCTGAAATAGAATATCTTCAATACTAATTGTCGAAGTAGAAACTATACATAAACGTTACGATTATATAAATATATCTTGTTATCGAAATATATCCACTTTAGGATCTTCTTGGTCTGCGTCGTTATATCCCACTTGGTGAAACTCATTCTCAACTTTTTAAGTGACTTAGATAGCTCTTGGCGGAAGAGTTGATCAGACCTCTCTGAAGCTAACAAAAGGGGCAGTGTTGACCACCTCCAATGGTGGCTAGGGATCGGGTTGAGCCGGTGGTTGCTATGATGTTTCTCTCTCCTATTGTTGATGACAGCTGATTTAGGGTTTTAGTTTTCTTTTGGCAATAGTGTTATGTCTTGTGAAGTTGGAATGAGAACTTAGGTCAGCATGATAAACCAAGTTTTAACTTTGATACCAATTGACATAGGATGAAGAGAGTTTGAAGACAACACTTACAGAAGATATATGAACACCCAAAATCGGAGATCTAAAATCATAATAATGAAATCAGTACCCAATGTTTGCATAATAATCATACGAGTAGTTTGCTAAATAACTAATTAAAATACGATCAAAATAAGAATTCTTAACTCCATTTAAGAATTCTACAAAATAAGAAAATAAGTTATTTAATTGGAATAACTTGTAATAGAGCATAATTAAATAAGATCTCAAGTAAATAAGAAAAAATAAACTCATACCATTAATAAGCATTACAATTATATAAATACGTCATATTATCAAAATATTTCCACTTTATGATCTTTCTGTTTTGCATCACTAATGACATATTTGGTCTAATTTCCATTAGATTCCTACTTTATTCAGTCATGTAATTAGTAGACTAATCTTGACATGTAAATTGCATTGTGGTTTTCAGTCTTCTGTAGGAACTTCTTAGGAGTGGAGTTCCAGTGCCTACTCGTTTTATGTTTGAATCACCTTACGGTTGAAATCGATAATTCATCCCTAATGCATTCAAGGTTTATAGGAGTGAAGTTGATCCAAAACATAAACAGTTATGCAATTCTACATATCTAGATTAGCTTATTACGTACGCAAAGGAATAAAGTAGGAATTGTTGACTCCAGTATAGTCTATTTGTTCTCTTGATTGGTAACTTTTTTATAGGTGTTAGTTGCCGCCTAATAAGGTTATTTTTAAAGCATTAAAGAAAATGCCAAAAGTCTCTAAATCACCTACTACTTCCTAAACAGTGTAAATATCTTGTATAAATTGATTATTTTGATATCGAAAGGAAACTGAATACAACTTTTTATTATCTTCTTTAGGTAGTCCTTCCTGGGCAGATATTAGGCTCAAGTCGAGCATATGGCAACATCACTAGGATGCACATATTATCTGGCTAACAGGCAGGTGGCAACTTTATATTTTTTTTTTCTTCAAAACTCGGTAACATTTACTTTCTTTTCCTTTTATTCCTTATTGTTCATATCGCAAAAGACTCAAACATCAAGGACAAAGAAACAAAAAGTTGGCATCTTGCATAATTAGTGATTTGGGATACAAACATTGGATTAATTATCCTGGCTCCCACTTTAGTAAGGTGGTACAAAATTTGAACCAGTCTCATGAGATTAATAGCTGTAGTCATCTATAGATTTATAACCTGCTACGTATTACAACAAAAGTAATTTTAGATAAATGCTTTTACTTACGCTTCTACACTTTTCTGAACTAATGGTTCTGTTGTAGAGGTCATTAAATTAACAAAACTTATTAATTTGAATCATTATCTTGATTAATAGCATTAGCTGTGTTAGACCTGTGGTGTGATAGATTATAACAGATATTGCACAAATATGTTGCCTAATGTGGAAAGGTTCTGCAGTTTTGTGCACATTGCGGTTTGTCCAGATCAAAGAGGAGTCCATTTGTCAGGTTTGGGTTGGTTAATTTTAGTTTTTGAGTTATTTAGGTTATTCATTCAATTCTAAGATTATTTCAATTTATAGGTTGAACTTCAGGTTGTTTGGATATCAGATGATTTGGTTTTCAAGTTACTATTTTTAGCTTGTTCTTATTTCAAATGTTTTTTCATGTTTCAGGTTTTCTCAGTTCAGCTATAATTTTGTTATGGACAGGTTTCATGTTTTGATACTGCATTCCAACTATTTGGTACCTGATCCCTGCTTCCTGTGCTCCTCCCAGAGACTAGTTGTTTTTGTTCCCATTTGCTTATCAGGTTTGTAATTGTTAACAGTTGCTTCTATATGCAAATTTTTTACTCTTCCTTATAATACTAAGTTTGCTCAATGGACAAATTTGTATGAAGTTCTCAACTATTTCTTTCATATTTTTGAACTCACATTTTTATGTATTTGTTGCTGTTTGGATTCTGTATTGGTCAAAAGTCTGTCTTTCGAAAACAATCTCCAAAACAAATAAACTAGTACATGGCTATTCTTCATTTTTTTATCATAACAATTAACCAGATTCTTTCCAGTATTTGCACGGGATTCCACAAGATTAGAAGCTTTGTATCTTCAAGGTCCTGCTGCCTCCAAATGACTGTGAGTGCTTTCTGGATGTAATTTTTCCTTTTCTGTAAAATGTATTACATAGGCCTGCCTTGTCTTCTACATGCCAGTAAATTCAGTGGATGATAAAAATACTATTAATGCTGTTGTAGGGAACAGTTGCATTGATTCTGGTGCTCTGTTTGGGAGTTTTCAAAACACAGCTGCCAACTTTCTGCATCAAATGCCTCAACTTGGCAGTTTATATTTAGCCATCAACCGGGTCTTCCTTACCTGTTTTCTGATTTTCTTTCCATCAAATACAGTGTCATTCAATGGCAATGCTATATAGATGTGGTTTTTAAAGTAATACTGTCGTCGGACCTCACAATATTAAGCAGAAAAATAACGTACTTTTATACCTAGTACAAAGGGGTTTATGTTTTAGTAAATGTTATGGGGTTGGTGGAGTATGAAAATATCACTACGAATAGGGAATACTCTTGTTTCCACTCCTCCGGCATAAAAGGGAAGTTTTTGGGTACAACAGGAACTGCACAAGGGCAGATGGATGCAATCTAAACCTCTGGTAAAGGACTGATTAACACAAAATATAAAGTATATTTATCTCATATTTTCTCCTCAAAGAAAATATAGTAGTACATTTACATGGTCTGATTTAGGGCTAGCGACTTATCCCATTCAGTGACAACGGCAATTTTTCCTTGAATTAGCTAAAACACCATATTGCCAGAGATGTAAATTGTAGTGACTTTGGCACTTCTGTTTGAATTAACTAAAACATGACATCACCAGAGATGTACATTGTGATTAATGTAGATGCTTATGAGTTTTAGATTACTGAGCTAGTTGATTAATTTTTAGATTGCTTTTTCCAAGTTGTGTAACTTTGAATCCTTTGACAATTGATTCTAGTTTTGGCTGTTGAAGTTTGATTAGCTGTGATATTTTGAATGGTAAGTCCTGCAAGTTGAAGTATACACTTTTACTCATTCTCTTGATTTTTCCAAGGACTTCAGGAAATTCTAACTTTGGTTTGGACCTTATAGTTGGGGTGCTGTTATCTGCGTTATGAGCCACATGAGTGCTGTAAATGATTGACACATGGCTGCTAGAACAAAATTGTTATTGTTTTACTATCTTCTTTTATCCTACAATATAATTAGTTATCTGGGCAAGTCTGAAGATAGTTTTTAGGATGTAGGGGATAAATATGAAGGTAACTTCTAGGCTGTTGAGGTAGTTACTTCCAACTAGGGAAGTTATTATTCTTAGAAGTTATAAGAAAAGAAAATAATTTGAACAAAATTGCAGAAACTTTTTCTATTTGAAGGTTTAGGAGATCGTTGGTTTCACTTATAATGAGTACACACTATTAATCTATCCAAACTAGATCCTAAGTAGGGAGCTTAACACCTGTAGACGCTCTGGTTTCATTCAGCTAAAAATTTTCAGGCTAAAAAATTTTATTTAGTTTTGCAATATTTCCTTATGGGATTACGTGGCCTTTCTTTTATAGGAGGTTGGGATGCCTTGATCATGTCTTTGTTTTTGTTTCATGTACTTTATTTTCAGTTGGATAACTTATCCATTGTTTTATTGTATTGTTTTTTGTCTTTTCTTGATGAAACTTTATTTCTATCAAAAAAATTTGTGATAGTTTATGTTATTGTGATTGGTGCATAATAATCAATTAGGATCTCCAGGACATTCTGGAAAGTTAAGGTTCCTTCTAAGGTGAAGATATTCGCGTGGATTGCTAGCGAGCTACTGCAAAATCGTAGACCGAATTGTGCTTTATTATTCGCTGATATTTGTATGATGTGCTACAACAGTAGGGAGACATACAATCGCCTCTTTCGTCATTGTGAGATGGCTTGGAGATTATGGTGTTGGCCTTTTGACATTTTCAACCTATCTTTGGTTGCCCCTCCTTTGGATTGTTTTCTTTGTTCAAGCATTAGAGGTTTTGAGATTAGAATGAAAGCTAAACCGTCATGGAAATGTGCACTTTTTCACATGTTTATAGACAATTTGGTTGGAAAAAAATCACCACATTTTTTATGATTCATTGATACCAGACTCGATTCTTTAGGAGAAGATGACCTTCTTGGCATCTCTTTGGGCTAAAGCTTACGAGTTTTTCTCGAAAATCCTCTTGCCCTTTTCTATAGTAGGTTGGATGCCTTGATCATGTGACAAGTTGTCGACTTTTATTAAATTGTTTTCGTTTCTTTGTTTTTGTTTCATTTACTTTATTTTCAGTTGGATCACTTATTCGTTGTTTTATTGTATTGTTTTTGCCTTTTCTCGATGAAACTTTTTTTTTCTATCAAAAAAATATGCAATGGTTTATGTTATTGTGATTGGTGTATGATACTCGATTACGATCTCTAGGTTCCTTTTACTTTCTTATGCGACATATTGTTTTGTTTTACCTTTCGTTAGCCAGGGATGGTTTCTCTAGAGAAACTGTTTTTTTTTTCATGGTTTTGTTGTTTTAGGAGTATTTTTGTTTGTTACTGTTTTCTCTTTCTAATAACATTTCTTTTTCCATAAAGTAGAAATCTTAACAATAACTAAATACGAACTCTACAAAAAAATTGAGCTAGAATAAATTACTCCTAGATTATAACAGATAGTAAATAGGATATTTAGAAGATAAGCTTATTCTTTATAATAAATAAAATGTTATAATAAATCTCTTTTCTATATATTTTAAAGCCTTGTTTTTCTAACGAGTACAGATGCTAAACGGCACAACTTAGGCAAGAAGTGCTTATAGTCCAAAGGTTAGCATAATTTTCTTTTAGACCCGGGTTCAACTACCAGCCATATGTGTTCTCTCTTTTTTTTTTCCCTTTAGGAATAATTATGTGGGAGAAGCTACGAGAAGGAAAGCAAGAGAAAGGAGCAGCCAAACCAAAGAAATATTGTCAAGGTTCTAAGACAATTCTGGAATGAAATTGTTGTTCCCATGGTTAGTGGGAGGCTGGAGCATCAACATACACAGAAAAGAATACTTGCTTTGCTGCGGCCTTGTTTGCCGGTTAGTATCTACCAATTCACCCCAGTATTCTCTGGTTTCCTCTTCTACTTTCTTTTCTTCTCTTGCAATCCTGTTTGGTTTCCTGCAAGTCTCTATTTGATCCTCTTTATTAACCTTTGATAGCTTTCTTGTTTACTCGTTATATCCTTTTTCCGGTGTGTATATGATTATATTTATGTTGTCATATCGGAGCGCTGAGATTTTGTTATGTAATGCTTTAATATATAGGGGAGATTGGTATTTTAGAAGATATTCTTCCTGTCCCAGTCAATATACACTCATCCTAATCCAATTTATTTGTTTATTTATGTAAAAAATAATCTATCTATGCCTAACATAAAAGACGACCAAACTTTACACATGTTTAGTTTGAGATTCGAACTTAAATAACCATTTGACAGAATTAAACCGCATGATTATGTGAAGTACTAAAATACTATTAAGAAGTAGGGAATGTAGGTCATTGGGGTGACTAGAATTGCCACTAAAGTGACAAACATGTAAGACTGCATTACAACGTATGTAGTAGCCCAAGCTGCAGGATTCCTTGGTACAACTCTTGTTCCTCAAAAATAATTATTACGTACTTTTTATCTTCTTCATTTTCGAAATTCATGATGAAAGTTCACTACAGGATGCTGAGGAAACTTTTGCAGCTTCTACTTGTTTATTCTGGAGAAAAGATCAGACTGCCTTTTTTACTTCAGTTGTCGCTTCTATTTGGTTTGTCTGATGTAAAAGTGACCTGAAATGGGTGCAGAAATTGAGGATTACGGTAGGATATATTCCAATCAGAGAAGATTATGTTACAAGTCAGGAAAAAATTTCAAGAATTACGGTTGTATGCTTACGGTATCAGCAGTGGCAGGAATCCAGTCGTTGGTTGCTGGATTGCCCTTGCAGGAGGTGTGGCAGGTATTTGAAGGATCGGGCACCAAACTGAAGCATTTGGCATTTGAGTTGATTTTAATGAATCCAGTCCCGGTCTGGAATTGAGAACAGGTATGCATCAAACGAGCAAGCATTTGGAACAAGATTAATTTCTCATTTTAGACAGAATTTGGTTGTGGAATTCATTTAGAAATTTAGATTTACTCTAAATATGAGATGTTAGAAATCTTTGAAATAACCAATAAAATTGAAACATTAGACAATTCTTTTAGGTAATATTGGAGATATAACAGTCTTGTTATTTATAGCAGTGAATGATAATTATTCTACCGTGTGGTGTTGTTTGTCTATGCCGTTGAGATCTCTGTAGTAATCAGTCTCTATGAATTCTTCCATCACTTCATTTCCTTTGTATACCAGTTTCTGCAAAATAAGAAGAAAAAGATGACGACATTTAGGACACTAAGAGTTTGAAGAAAGACTTCAGATTTTTGATCCCTCATTCACTATATTGGATTTTTCCATTTAACTTCAATAAGAATATGAAAGACTTCATATAGGAACTACCACAAACCTATCACAGAAGCTAAATTCAGAAATCTCATATAATATATTTGATAGATTCAGAAATTTTGTAGAATTCATACGTAAATATGTTTTTTTTTTTTTTCAGAAAAAAATAGTGAAAGTCTTCCTTAAAATTCTCAAAAGTAATCTCATGTAATATAAAAAATATTGGACAACAACCATTCTAATTGTGGGAATATGAAGTATTGTAAGAACACTCATTACTTTACAATTACCTTCCACTTCTATACCTTATTTAAATTATACAAAACTCACCTCAACAAGCGTTTGTAGTCCAACGGTTAGGATAATTGCCTTCCAAGCAATAGACCCGGGTTCGACTCCCGGCAGACGCATGAATCTTTTGCATCTTATTTATTTATTTTTAATGCATCTTTCATTTACTTCAATTTTTTCATTTGGGATTTATGATGTATGTCAGGAAATAAGAAGAAGAAGAAGAATCACCTGAGTATCATTTTCAAGGCGTTGAAACTCAGCATACTCTGGAATCAAACTGTTGTTTTCATGGTTGGAGAAAGCGTCGACATATGTAGGAGAATACTCGCTTCTCTGCGGCTTAGTATGGCGCTCAGGAGCTAATCTATCGTAGTATTCTCTCGTCTGCTCTCCAAGTTTTTCTTCTTCTTCTCTCGGTAAATGAATGTCACTCCTGTTCGCTCTCCTGCAACAAGAATCCATTTATCTTCTTCTGTAACTTCCTTCTCTTTTTCTTCTTCACGCTTTACTCTCCTAGATCTGAGATTTTGTCATATAATCTTATATATATATATATATATATAGAGAGAGAGAGAGAGAGAGAGAGAGGGAGGGAGAGAGACTCAGATTGGAAGATATTTTTCTTCTTCTCTTCAGTTCAAAATAAATTATCCAATTTAAATTTTGACATTTATACAATATTTATTTTACCCAAAAAAAAAATTATATTAATTCTAAATTATATACAAATTAAAATTTTAAATATATAATATTTAATTAATAAAATGAGAATTTAAAAGCTTAGGTTCAACAAAATATCTAACAGCTTTAAGGAAAAATATCTTGGAAAGCTTATCCATTTGAAGGTTGTAAAGTGATTGATTAGTCATTGTTGGTCTGCAGGCCCGACCACGTCAACTCCTCACTCCTCTTTTATTTGTAGCATGTGGTTTTTTCAAAGTTTCTTTTTCGAACATTTAATTTTGAGAGTGCTATTCTACCGACTCAAATTAATTTTAATTAAATATAAAATTAAGGTATTACGAATTTATAATATTTAATTTAATATATTTATAAAAAAAAAAAATTTCATAACGAATTAAATTTTTTTAATTAAAATAGTGATAATATATTAAAAATTTAATCTATTTTTTAATTTTAATAAAAACTAATTATTATTATTTAAATATAATTATTTCAAATATAATGCGGGTAGCACTTTCCAAAGTGAATAAAGAAGTGCGTGGCAAAATCTATTAAACATTAATCTTAATATAAAAAATAATTTACTTAATTTTATTTATATATCGAAATATATTTTTATCTGTTACAATTTTACTCATACACATTAACTCAGTAGTAAGCAAAATAAATAATAATAATAATAATAATAAAAAGGTAAACAAATGATAGAAGAGATGATAAGACTCTCTCATTCCCCCCTTCACAATCTCATGTCCTTCCAACTTCAAACTAATTGGTTCTAACCTAATGCCTTTTCATGAATTCACTTGTTAGCGAGCCTACTTAACTATTCATAAAAACGTTATAGAAAATTCTCTTACACTCTTATCATTATTTGGCAAAATATCGTTGTTCAACTCCTTCGTGAAAATCATTTTCGATCAGTCTTGAAAACTTACATCTAAGTGACAAAATTTTTTAACCTTCAAGTTGGGTATCTTACTTTAAACTAAATAAAATTCTATTTTTTTGAAAGCAAAGTTTGAGATTATACATGCTTCTAAATCAATAAATAAAAGGCCAACGAGGAAGTTTTCAATAAATTATCTATTTTTTCATACAATATAATACTCGAATATATTAAAGATCGAGTATGGCTCTAGATAATCTTATTTAGAGAAAACTTTCTAACCTATTCTACTTCAAAAAAAAAAAAAAAAGAGAAAAATATTATAAACCAAAACTATAATTCAAGTTAAAAGATCATTGATATTTAATCTACAACTAGGATTGCGTATAAACAATTTGACTTTCGAAACCAAGTTAGTTACTAAATTATAAGAGTAACTATTTATTACTTTAAATAAAAATTCATTAGTCAATTTAGACTGTATTCCTATATATTCTCATATGAAAGTTGTATCATATCTTGTTATAATTGTTATTTATGTATCATCTAATTGATAAATGTATGATTTTTTACTAAAAAAAATTTAATTTTCTTTGAGTGTACAGATGATCATCTTTTACAAAATAATTAATTATAATAATATAAACAGTATTGATAATGCGTCATTTAAAAGAAATAACTCATACTTTTTTTATAACTAAATTAAAACACGTGAAGTCCTATAATACCAACTCATTCAATTGTAGAAAGCTTACTCCAAAACATCTAATTAATTCATTTTTCAATGTCTGCCTAACCCTATTAATATTTAGTAATTAATTTTTTAATTGATCGAACACTGTATGCGGTCAAAAGGACATTCATCATATAGGAGGGAATCAACCGAGCCACTATTTTAATCATAATGTTTTTACTAACTCACTTTAACTCATATTTTACGTATTTAAGATGTAATTAAGATATAAAAGTTTCTCTTTTTAATCTCTTAATCACCTATAATAAGCTTAAGTATCTATCATGACCCTCAATCATATTTACATAAAATATTTTCTTTTAATCCTCCAATAGATTTTGGGACCATTAAGAAATAATTAACTTATAACTATTAATATAATATTTTAAAATTTTATTATACGCTAACAAGGTCATATATGTACTTATATATAACTACAACTCTTTCTCTATATTTTTATCTAATATGAGATTATCAAATAAAAATATAAAATAAGAAGCAACAACAGAAATAAAAAGACAATATGATATTTTCTCTAGAATAAAAAAATAGAAACTACAAAGTTTCCTCAGCATGCTCTAGTGAACTTTCATCATGAATTTCGAAAATATAAAAGATAAAAAGTACATAATAATTATTTTTAAGAAACATGAGCCATACTAAGGAGGAATCCTGTTGCTTGGGCTATGTATGTTGTAATGCACTCTTTCGTGTTTGTCACTTTAATGGCAATTCTAGTCATGCCAATGATCCACATTCCCTATTTTGTAAAAGTATTTTGGTATTTCACATAAGCATGAGGTTTAATTCTCTGAGATGGTTATTTAAGTTTAAGTATCAAATCAAATATATAAAGATTAATATTTTATATTAGGTATAGATAGTTTATTTTCGACTGAATGAATAAATAAATAAATTGACTTAGGATGAATGTACATTGATTAGGACACAAAGAATATCTTCTAATATCAATCTCCTTTTTATATATAAAGCATTATATAAGAATATCTCAACTCTCTGATATGACAATATAAGTATACTCATATACACACAGGAAAAATGGATCAAATAAAGGCTTGCAGGAAACCAAACAGGATTGTAAGAGAAGAAGAGAAAATACAAAAGCAAAAACCAGAGAAAACTAGGTGAATTGGTAAACACTAACCTGCAACTAAGGTTACAGTGAAGCAAGTGTTCTTTTTTGTGTACATTGATGCTCTCAACCTCCCACTAACCATGGGAACAATAATTTCATTCCAGAATATTGTGTCTTAAAATCTTGAAAATGATTCAGCAATTAGACTACTCTTCTTTTTCTTGCTTTCCTTATAGCTTTTCCCACATAATTATTCCCAAAAGAAAAAAAAGGATGATCTTTCCTTCTTGTAGCTCCTCCGACATAATTAATTATTTTCGAAGACACAAAAAAAGAGAAAATACGTATCACCAGGAGTTAGACCCTGGTCTACTATTTAAAAGAACTACTACTTGAAGGAAATTGTCCTAACCGTTGGACTACAAAGGCTTCTTGTCTAAATTTTGTCTTTTCCTATCTATAGTAATGAGTAAAACAAATCTTTAGAATTTATAGAAAACAGATTTATTACAACAATTTCTTTATTATAAAGAATAAATTTATCTTTTGTAATATCCGATTTACTATATGTTCGAGTTTAGAAGTAATTTTTTCTAACTCAATTTTTTTTTGTAGAGTTCTAATTTTGTCATTGATAAGTTTTATTCTTTATGGAAAAAGAAATGTTTCGAAAGAATAGAAATACTCCTAAGCAAGAAAACCAAGAAGAAAGGAAAGATGCAGACATCTCTAAGAGAAACCATGAACCCTAACTAACAAAAGGTTGAACAAAATAAGCATCTAGATTTATCACAATGTACGTATTTGGTGATGACATGTTTTTGTTATAATACATCTCTACCAATACCATGTTTTAGCTAATTCAGATCACTAAGAAGGATAAGTTGCTAATCCTAAATCAAACCATGTAAATGTACCATTATGTTTTCTTAAGTGTACTTTATGTTGGGTTATTCATCTGCCCTCGTACAAAATTATACTATATTTAAAAAAATTATATAATAATAACATTTATTTTTATTTAAATTAATAAAATAATATAATTATATATTTAATTAAATTAATTATTTTACTCATATTTTATTATATAAAATAATAAATAAAAAAAGATTAAAAAATAAAACTCTTATCCAGAAAAAGATCCAGAGGTGGTAAAAATATATATACATATATATAATTAAATAAATAAATGAAACAAAAAGAAAGATCAAGTAACAATATTACATATACATATATATGTATATACATATGTAATTAAATAAAAAACTAATAAAAACTATTTGTGCATTCCTATTATTTCTATATATTCCTATAATTTTTGTATATTCATATTATTCCCATTATTATAGAAAGGGTCTCCCTCCAACCCACTTCATTCTTGGTACTTCTGTCATTCCCTTCTCCTTTTCTGTTAATGTCTATATGAAGAAACAGACACTCATAACTTAACATTGTCCTTCGCTACACCAGCTTCATTCCCATGGAGAATGTCCTCAAGAAGTCGATTGATGGCATTTCCTCTAGCCTGCATGAAGGGATACCAGGTCGAAATTCAAATCAACATTTATGATTGCAGAAGCCATGGAGACATGTGATTCAACTCACTAGCCCTTACCTTCACTCCAATAGCAATTGTTGTTTTAAGCTTGACGAGTTCGCCTAATCTTAAAGACCCCTCCTTATTATCCCTGACAAAGATTACCGGTACCTTTCTTGATGAGGCCAAGCTAGGCAAATGCTTCGTTAGCCACCGTGGATTGCAGTCCGCAGCAACCAGTATTACCTAATGTGTCATAAGACATTTAACTTCTTTGAATCATAAAACATAGAATCCCCATTAAGTGCTAAGCTTAAAACAGTATTAGTGTATGACTCCTTTGGTTCTCATCATTTGACCAGTTAAATTTAGAAGCAATTGATTAACAAAAACTTCTATACAAACTACCAAGTCAATCAGAAGTTAATTATTATCTTACCCGCAAAATATACTCTAGACTATAATTCAGTACCATACTGAGTAGAAAACCCACAACTTAAAACCGATACAGGTCTCAATTATCTTATTGCAGAATAAGTTTAGAGCAGTAATAAACCTGAAGTTGAACCATAGGAGCTTTACGGCTGCTGCGAAAAGAGTTTTGAGGAGAGCTTCTGTCCATACCATTGCATGGTCCCATTCTTTCAAGTACACGAGTGACATCATTGACCCCAATTGCAAATTGTTGCTAAATAACAGCACAACAAAGCCAAAAGAATTATAGACACCCATCAGAAATTAACCCTAAACAAGATGATATGGCGCTGAAAATTTATTTAGTATGAAGCAGAAAAACGAAAAAGAAAAGGTACCTTCAGCCATATTTTTTGAGGCAAAGAGTTTCCATCTAAATGTCTTCCTGACTCGATACCCCTGTTTAATATGATAACCATATAAGAACCCACCACCATTCATAAATTAAAACAAGAATTACACAAAGAAACTAAGGAGAAAAGAAAGAGACACAGTTTAAAAGTTTCAATTCTCTTCACCTCCTGATTAATTCGAGCAAACGAGCAAGATGTTCCCCTTCATAGCAACTAACGAATATAAAAGAGTATCAAGAAAATCAGTTCTGTAGTCTAAATCAGGACAATGACCCATAAAAATAAATAAATAAACGTACTCTTGTTCTGCAGGAAGAGAGACGGACTTCAATGCATTATGTTGCTTCTTTCTCGAAGATTGGAAACCGTTTACATTCATTGTTGCAGCAAGCAGACTCCAGTAGCTTTGACAAAAGTTCTGTAAGAGAAGAGAGAGAGAGAGAGAGAGAGAGATAAAGACCAATAGACAGTGATATTGCGGCAGTAAAAAGCTTTGATCAACTATTTCTTTTGAAATAAAAAATATCAAGTGTGTATCAACTAGGTACCAAAAACTGGGGTACCATTTATTTACAAAAGATTTACAACAGACTTAATGAATCAATGACATTTCTAAAATCTACATCACTAATAATGTCATACCCTAACAATATACACCCAAAATAATGCAACCATCTATCTTTTAATCTAGTAATGCTACTAGCCTCACTATCAAACGCTCTACTATTTCTTTCTTTTCAAATGACCCAAAAAACTGTCAAAAGAATCACATTAGCTCACTTATTTTTTACATTTAAACCGTCTCAAGCCCAAATCTCTCCCTTCACCGAACCCGAAATAATCCAATCAATGTCCTACAACCCATAAATAAAAGTCCACAAACAGTAGGCAATGGGTCACCACAATAATAGGTGGTTATAAGTTTCTTCCGCCTTTAAACAGCAGTAGCACCAGTGCACCAGAACGCAGCCCTTGATTCTTGGCTTATCAATAGTTAAAATCTTCTCCCAGCGTGCTCACATGGTTAGAAACAAAGGGAGATAAACCTCAATCAGGTCATCCTTAGGCCATAAACTGAAACAAAAAAGCTAACAAAGCCTAGAAGAGATATCAATCACCATACCACACAAAACTCTTGCTTAAGAGAGTAATATGAGCAACGGAAGGCTAGGTTACTAACCCAAATCTCCTATACCCACTGCTATCCCCAAACAAGCATACATTCATCATTCAATATCAACAACTCAATCAATTACATGCTGTACTTGCACCAAACCCTCAAATAAATTGAATGCATCCTGTGTACCAGCACACAAGGACACGATCAGCACACACACTTTAATCATACAAATAACATATTCGATACCCATCTCTTAAGCAATACAGGAATAGCATTCTAAACTTCATAAATTGAAATGATTCAGTCTCTCTAACAAGCAATTCTAGGGTTTCTGATATTCACCTAGGGGACCTTGATTGGAAATCCCTACCGTTCTTTCACCCCCCCCCCCCTTCTCTCTCTCTTAAGCCCAAAGCAACCCTGTGTTTTTCTTTTGGCTTTTCTTCTATTTCATCGCTCCAAATATCTTCCTCTCTCGTTGGTCCGTTCGCCAAAGCCTCCCTCTCCATCAGCTCTCTCTCGTCCAAACTATCACATCTGCTCCCACCCAAAAGCAAAAAAGGTCCCCTTTAAACTGAATGAAAGCATATTATATTTCTAGTAAATGATTGCCCCTACTTGACAACTAGATGTCATCACTATATCTTCTCCAATTGAAGAGATTGATGGCGGTGACTTCATGAAAAAGGAGCAATATTCATTTTTAATTTCTTTTATTCCCCATAGATGTAACAGCCCAATTCATAAAACCCTTATAACAATTTAATTTGGATATATAATATTCATTTTTAATTTCTAAATATAATTAATTTTTGTACTCACTAAATCTCTACAAATTAAAGTAAAATACTACCTAATTATTTGCTCAGCTTTAAATCACAAAATTCCATGTTAATCTTGTTTAACAATCCAAACATATTATGTGCAATTAACATAAGAAAAAACTTGAAATGTTCGTCTAGAGACCAATTAGCTAATTAATTTAGACCTGAACAAACATACATATATATAGTATTAATTAAAAAGGATTCAATTTTATTTTTTAAAACTTTTTTGTAGTCAACCTCCATACTTAACCTATGCATTAAATACATTTTATATATTTATTATACATATTCATAGAATGAGATGAAACCATGGCTTGTTATGTATTATGGTGCTTCGATCCCATTGCTGAAGACAATGGGTTTGGAAGAGGGTTTCCCTTCCCAACTTCTAAATTTAGAGCTAACTCGTTCTAGTATAGCAGCAAAAGCTGGAATTTATATTCCTTCATTTAATTACATATATTAAAGAATGACAATAAGATGAATGATTCATTTAATATATTTGAAAAATCCAACAAATCTAACCAGACTTGAAGAAGTTGAATTTGTATAATCTAATATTTCAACGAGCCTAAACAAGTTTCCGAAACTGAAAACTTCCGAACCTGATCAAACAGTTTGTTTTGCACGACCTGCCTTTATACGTTCTTTCAGATCTGGAAGGGAAAAAATTGCTAGGTCAAAAACTATTGTAAAAAGTAAATACCCATACAAATAGGCTTGTAAGAGATTTAAATTCACAATGAAACAAAAACAGTACGCTGACACTCTTAGCCCATGAAAATTACATAACAGAAACTCAATGTTACAAACTGTAAATAGAGTATCATAATCTTGCCAACTGAACAATAGAAAGAAGATCGGGGCAACATCAATAATAGTCAATTGAACGGATAATCCGATAACACTTAAATTTAGGAGAGAAAAAAGCATAAAAAAATCCAATAGACAGATAAAAGGAACTAAACCTTACCAGAGAAGCGAAAATAGGGAAGATGCCGATTTTGAGCCTCTCCCATCAAGAGGCTAAAAGATAAAGATGAGGAGAAGAAGTTGATTCAAGTCTTTGCTGAAGAGATGATAATGGCGGCGGCTAGGCAAAGAGAGCGACCACCTTTTTTAAGGAAGGGAGAGAGAGAGAGAGAGAGGGTTGAAAGAGGAGGGGCAGGGTACCTTGAGATCGGAATATAGCATAAAACCCCAGGATTAAGGTTTCATTTTCTGCCGTCAGATTGGATCTTTTTCCTTCTAAATCAACGGTTATGAGTAAACGCGTTTATCCAACTATTTTCTTGAACTCCTCCACCGCCTTTGTTAGAAAAACCCTAGGCCCCAAACGGTTCCCTTTTGTAACAATTTGGGTGTTAATGCTACTTCACTGCCCACCCGTAATAACTTGAACTCCTTTAAATTACATTAAGGTGGAAATTGATAATTCATTCCTAATGCATTCGAGATATATAGGAGTGAAGATGATCCAAACATAAATAACTATAAAATCTTATGTATCGACTCTAATATAGTCTATTTGTTCTCTTGATTGGATTAATTATCTTGATTCCCAGTTTAATAAGGTGGTATAAAATTTAGACCAGTCTCATTAGATTAATAGTTGTAATCATTAATACATTTACTCTAATCGAAGTTAGGGTCGTTAAATTTTCTAGGATAATTTCTATTTCATTACTTTTTACAACGGTTAGTAACAAATCATTATTTTGATTAATAGCATTAGATGTGTTAGATTATAACATATATTGCACAAACATATTTCGTAATGTGGAAAGTTTTGCAGTTTTGTGTACATTGCTACTTGTGCAGATCAAAGTCAGAAGGCTATTTGTTAGGTTCGGATTATATTATGTTATTCATTCAATTCTAAGATGATTTTTATTTATAGATTGAATTTCAGGTTATTTGGATATCATCTGATTTGATTTTCAAATTATTATTTTTAGTTTGTTTTTATTTTGAATGTTTTTCGTGTTTCAGGTTTCCTCATTTCAATTATAATTTGGTTATTGTTGTATTTGGTTTCAATTAATTATGGGCATCAACTTGTTGAGAGTTTTGTCGCTTGAAAATTGAAGTTTCTTAGATCTAACTTAATTCCATTTTGGTTATTTAACTTTCCAGTCATGGATGAATAGCTTTGTTTTGTGAAATTAAGTTGATTCGCATTTAAGGTTTTTCTGATTGAGTTTATAAGAGGTCAAATGTTAGGTCTCAATTAAAATAAAAAAGAACTAAAAAAGAATTTGCTTCTATATAGGGCTAAAATTACTGTAGATATTTGCTCTCAAAAATCATATCCCTTATTCGTACTCAAAGAATGCTTTAAAGAGAGGAACTACATCAACTTTTTCCTGCTACCCAGGAAGCATGAGCTGCAGTGATGCCATAATCACAACCACAACGACTAAAAGATAAGAAATCAAAAACAGAAAATTAAAATAAAAGAGATAGCTTTGACCGATTCTGAAGGAATGGCTTATTGATCAATTACCTACGTTTTTCATGTTGCATGCTGCGAAATACCTGAAATTTTTCTGTCATGTTTCCCTTTCTTCCCTTGATCTGTGGTGTTTTGTTCTATCATTGCCTCCCCCTTTTTTAGAACTTTGTCCTTAAGGTTTAGGTACCCTTGGTCTCTCCGTTTAGCCAAACTTCACAGGTTCGACATCTTATTTCTCTTCGTCGCCTTCTAGAAGTAATAGTTGGGATCGGCGACATCTGTGATCGAATGTAAACTTTTCGTCACAATGGAAGCACAGACCTTGTACTCGCTGACATTGTGCTTCTTCCTATGATAACCCTTGGGAGTGGTGATTGTTGCTGCTAGAGCTCGTGGGGTTTGGTTAGATAGGGAGCATGCTTGTGGGTTGGGTTGGGTCTGCCCCACCTAGTCCAGCCTACCTTGACGGCCCAACTGCTCATCGCGCATGCAGGCTAGACTTATTGCATCCTTCAGGTTCCTGGGTTGAAGTCCGCCAATGAAAGTTCTAATTAAAGCCTTCTGGGTTTAACTGCGAACCTTGCTCCCCAGCCTTTCAAATTCCTTTTGGTATTCCCTTAAGGGCTCGATCTGTTTCAACCTTATTAAGGCCTCATCAAAATCTTCACAATCAATTGGCCCGAAATAGGCCCATATATCTTCTTCAAACCCAGCTCAAGTCACCATCTTCCCTTCTTCTCTGTAAATTTGGTGAAGTTATTGCCACCACTAGTTGGCTTCACCCTCTAGATAGAAAGAAGCAAGCTGCACTTTCTGTTCATCAGGAATGCCTTGGTAGTCGAAGAATTACTCGACGCGGCTGAGTCATTCGGTTAGGGTTCTCACCGGCAAAGATGGAGAACTCAAGCTTTGCGAGCTTGGAGAAAAAGGGCTGATGGCACTTGTCGTTCCTTTCGATTCCATCATCGCGGAGTAGTCGCATCAGTCCAGATCAATTTAGAGTGTTGTTGTTAGATCCTTTGCGGTTTATCAACAAAGTGTCCGTCAATCACTTGAGGATGTCCTCCATTTGGTAAAACTTATCGGCAACTCCTAACTCAATTCGATTAAAGTTGTCTTGCAGTCCCCCGACACTGGCTTCCAATTGTTCAATCATCTCCTTATTAGACATAACTCGGATACTAAATATTAGGTCCCAGTCAGAACCAAGAAGAATTGAAAAAAAATTTACTTCTATTTAGGGCTAGAATTACCACAGATATTTGCTGTCAAAAACCATATCCCTTATTCATACTTGGAGAATGTTTTAAATAGAGGAACTACATCAACTTCTTCCTGCTACCCAGGAAGCACGAACTGCAATGACGCTACAATCGTAGCCATATAACGACTAGAAGATAAGAAATTAAAAATAGAAAATCAAAATAAAAGAGATAACTTTGACTGATTCTGGAGGAGGAATGACTTGTTGATTAATTACCCACGTTTTCTATGTTGCATGCTGCGAAATACCTGAGATTCTTCTATCACGTTTCCCTTTCTTCCCTTGATATGCGGTATTTAGTTCTATCATTGTGTCCCTCTTTTTAAAACTTTGTCCTCAAGGTGCAGGTACCTTTCGTCTCTCTATTCAGCCAGGCTTAGCAGATTCGGCATCTTCTTTTTCTTCGTCGCCTTCTAGAAGTAATAGTTGGGATTGATAACATCTATGGTCGAAAGTAAACTTTTCATCGCAGTGGAAGTACATACCTTGTGCTCGCCGACACTGTGCTTCTTCCCAAGATAACCGCTTGGGAGTAGCGAATGTTGCTGCTAGAGCTAATGGGGTCTGGTTAAATAGGGAGCGCGCTTGTGGGTTGGGTTGAGTCTGCCCCCACCTGGTCCAGCCTACCTTGACAGCCCAATTGCTCCTTGTGCATGCAAGCCAAACTTACTGCATCCTTTAGGATCCTGGGCTTGAATATCCTTATCTCATATATCATATCGGGCTGAAGCCCACTCATGAAGATTCCAATTAAAGCCTTCTGGGTCCAACCGCAAACCTTGTTCCCCAACCTTTCAAATTGTTTTTGTTATTTCCTTAAAGGCTCGATTTACTTTACCCTCGTTAAGGCCTCATCAAAACCTTCGTAATCAGTTGGCCAGAAACGTGCCCATATCTCTTCTTCAAACTAGCCCTAATCACCATCTTCCCTTCTTTTCTGTAAGTTCTGTGGAGTCATTGCTATCACTGATTGGTTTCACCCTCTAGGTGGAAAGAAGTTAGCTACACCTTTTCCTCATCAGGAATGTCTTGGTAGTTGAAGAATTGTTTAATGCGGTTGAGTCATTCGACCAGGGTTGTCATCGGCAAAATGGAGAACTCAAGCTTTGCAAGCTTCGAGAAAAATGGCTGACAGCCCCCGTCATTTTTTTTGGTTCCATCATCACAAAGTGGTCATGTTAGTTCGGGTCGACTTGGAGTGATGTTGTTAGACCATTTGCTATTTGTCAACAGAGTATCCGTCAACCGCTTAAGGGTGTTCTCTATTTGGTGAAGCTTATCGGTGACTCCAAACTCCATTCGGTTGAAGCTTTTGTGCAGTCCCCCGACATTGGCTTCTAATTGTTCAATCATCTCTTTGTTAGACATGACTTTGATACCAAATATTAGGTTATAGTCAGAACCAAAAATAATTAAAAAATATTTTACTTCTATTAGGTCTAGAATTATTACAAATATTTGCTATCAAAAACTATATCCCTTATTCATACTCAGAGAATGCTTTAAATAGAGGAATGACATCAACTTCTTCCTGTTACCCAGGAAGCACGAGCTGCAGTGGCATCATAATTATAGACACAACAACTAAAAGATAAGAAATCAAAAACAGGAAATCAAAATAAAAGAGATAGTTTTGATCGATTCTGGAGGAATGACTTATTGATCAATTACCTACGTTTTCCATGCTGCATGCTACGAAGTACTTGAGATTTTTTTGTCAAGTTTCCCTTTCTTCCCTTGATCTGTGGCATTTGGTTCTATCATTATCTCCCTCTTTTTAAAACCTTGTCCTCAAGGTTCAGGTACCATTGGTCTCTCCGTTCAGCCAGGCTTTACAGGTTCAACATCTTCTTTCTCTCGTCGCCTTATAGAAGTAATAGTTGGGATCGGCGACATCTATGGTCGAAAGTAAACTTTTCGTCACAGTGGAAGCACAGACCTTGTACTCGCCGGCACTGTGTTTCTTCCTAGGATAACCACTTAGGAGCAGCGACTGTTGCTGCTAGAGCTCGTGGGTCTGGTTAGATAGGGAGCATGCTTGTGGGTTGGGTTAAGTTCGCCTCGCCCAGTCCAGCCTACCTTGATGGCCTAAATGGTCCTCGCGCATACAGGCTAGACTTATTGCATCTTTCAGGGTCCTGAGCTTGAACATCTTTATCCCATCTGTTATCTTGGGCTAAAGCCCGCCCATGAAGATTCCAATTAAAGTCTTCTGGGTCCAACCGTGAACCTTCTTCCCTAGCCTTTCAAATTCCTTTTGGTATTCCCTTAGGGGCTCCTCATCAAAATCTTCATAATCAGTTGGCCCGAAACGGGCCCATATCTCTTCTTCAAACCCAACCTAAGTCACCATCTTTCCTTCTTCTCTGTAAGTTCAGTGAAGTCATTGTCACCACTGATTGCCTTCACCCTTTAGGTGGAAAGAAGCTAGTTGCACCTTCTGCTCATCAGGAATGCCTTGGTAGTCAAAGAATTTCTCGACGCGGTTGAGTCATTTAGCCATGATCGTCACAGGCAAAGATGGGGAACTCAAGCTTTGCGAGCCTCGAGAAAAAGGGCTGACAACCCCCGTCGTCCCTTTCGGTTCCATTGTCATGGAGTGGCCGCATCAATCCGGGTCAACTTGGTGTGTTGCTATTGAACCTTTCACGGTTTATTAAAAGAGTGTCCGTCAACCGCTTGAGGGTGTCCTCCGTTTGTTGAAGTTTATCGGCGACTCCCAACTCTATTAGGCTGAAGCTGTCTTGCAGTCTCCCGATGTTGGCTTCTAATTGTTCAATCATCTCTTTGTTAGACATGACTCTGATACCAAATGTTAGGTCCCAATCAGAACCAAAAAGAATTGAAAAATAATTTACTTCTATTTAGGGCTAAAATTACCACAAATATTTACTGTCAAAGATCATATCCCTTATTCATACTCGGAGAATGCTTTAAATAGAGGAACGACATCAACTTCTTCCTGCTACCCAGGAATCACGAGCTGTAGTCGCGCCATAATCGCAACCACAATGGTTAGAAGCTAAAAAGTCAAAAACAGGAAATCAAAATAAAAGAGATAGCTTTGACCGATTCTAGAGGAATGGCTTGTTGATCAAGTACCCACGTTTTCCATGCTGCACGTTGCAAAATACCTGGGATTCTTCTGTCACGCGAGATTCTTCTGTCACGTTTCCTTTCTTGCTCGATCTGCGATGTTTGGTTCTATCAATAAATCTGTCTTGTCTTCTCAAGTCGTGTTCTTCTTGGCTGACATTTATGCTTTCTAACTTTCTAAATGTAAACCTCATCCTTTGCTATGTGGGATACTTTTGGAGACATTCACATCTAACGATTGGATTTCGAGTTTCCTGCTTCCTCCATAGATAGTGGTTTGCCCTCCCATTTGCTTATCAGGTTTGTAATTATGAATAGTTACTTCTAAATGCAAATTTTTGACTCTTCATAATAATACTTACTGAGTTTGCTTAGTTCTCAACTACTTGTTTCATATTGGTCAAAAGTCTGTTTTTCAAAACCAACTTCCAAAACAAATAAACTAGGACATGACTATTTTTCATTTTCTTATCATAACAATTAACCAGATGCTTTGCAATATCTATATGAGATTCCATAAGATTCAGTGGATGGTCCTGCTACCCTCAGATGACTGTGAATGCTTTCTGGATGTAATTTTTCCTTTTTCTATAAAATGTATTACACAGGCCTGCCTCTTCTTCTACATATCAGCAAATTCAGTGGATGGCATTGATTCTTGTAATATTTTTACATGAAAATTTTCTGCTTTCAAAAACTAATTACGTAGCTTTTGTAGAGAGAAAAAGTAAGAGAGAAATAGGACACAGAAACAGAGCATAACACTGCAAAGTTCTTTGTTTCTGTGCTTCGGTAAAATTGTGAGAAGATAATACAAGAAAAAAGGCTATTTTTTCATTCATGTTTGCATGGCTTAAATAAGCCAATTTACAATTACAGATCATGTTTTTTCGTGCAAGTGATGATCTTGTATACAAACTCAATTCCACCTTTTATCCAGTTACTACATAATTCAAGGAAACTTGAATTTAAAATTCAAATACAAGTTGATAAGAATAGATTTTAACTGATTCTTAATAATCTAACACTCCTTCTTAAGAATTCGTCCCTACCATTCCTAACTTCCTTCTCATCATTTCAAATTTCTCTTTTCCAAGCGGCTTTATCAGAATGTTCGCCAGTTGCTCATCGAATGAGCAATAAGTAAGCTTGATTTCACCACTCTTTTTAGCATCTCTAATTGCATGGAACTTCACATTAATGTGTTTGGTTCGACCATGCATCACTGGGTTTTTAGCAATTACAATGGCCGACTTGTTATCCACTAAAATTTCAGTTGGTAGAGACGCATCCAACTTTAGATCATGCATTACTTTCCTTAACCAAACCGCCTGATTTGCAGCACCTGCAGCAGCAATATATTCAGCTTCAGCTGTAGATTAAGCAACCACTTCTTGTTTTTTAGATACCCAGGAGAAAACACCAGAGCCAAATGAAAATAAATAACCAGAAGTGCTGCGTGCATCATCAAGACTCCCTGCCCAATCACTGTCAGTATACCCTAGCAGCCTTCCTTCTCCCTTTGTCTCGTATAGAATTCCATAATTTTAGGTACCCTTAAGATACCTCAATACATGCTTTACCGCTGCCATGTGAGATTGTTTTGGAGATGACAAAAATCATGACAGTAAACTCATAGCAAATAGCATATCCGGCCTTAAAACAGTGAGATACATCAAGCTTCCAATTAAGCTTATGTACCTTGCCTCATCCACTTTATCACCTGTTTCATCCTTAGTTAGCTTTAAGTTTGGAATTAATGGAGTAGATACAACTTTACACTCCATCAAGTTGAACTTTTTAAGTATTTCACATGCATACTTTGCTTGAGACAAAAAAATTTAATTTTGAGCTTACTTTATTTCCATCCCCAGGAAGTGTGTTACTTCATCTAGGTTGGACATCTCAAACATCTCCTCCAATTGTCCTTTGAATTCTTCCATTTTACATGGATCATTACCTGTCACCAGTATGTCATCCACATAAATGGCAGTGATCAAATTCCAGCCATTTTCATCGTGTTTTGCATATAGTGTTGTTTCTGCCTTACTCCTTTTAAATTCACAATACAGTAGGTACTTGTTTAGCTTCTGATACCAAGCTCGTGGAGCTTGCTTAAGGCCATACAGAGTCTCATGTAGCAAATAAACATGATCCTCTTTTTCCTCAACAGTGAATCCATCCGGTTGATCAACATAAATTTCTTCTTGGAGATCACCATTTAGGAATAAAGATTTGACGTCCAGGTGCATAACCTACCACTTTGAATGCGTTGCTACTGCTAGGATCATTTTGATTATTTCATGTCTCACAACTGGAGCGAAGGTGTCCCCAAAGTCAACTCCTGCAATCTGGGCATATCCCTTCACCACCAGCCTAGCTTTGTGCCGATTTACAGAGCCATCGAGATTCAACTTGAGTCTGTAAATCCACTTGACACCGATTATCTTCTTGCCTTCTAGTTTAGGGATCAAAGTCTAAGTTTTGTTCTTTGTGATCATAGCAATCTTCTCCATCATAGCATCCTTCCAAGAGGAATGTGTGGCTGCCTCTTGATAGGTTGCACGTTCTTTGAAGGCAAAATTGCATGATTCGTATATTTCAGAGAGACTTTTCATCCTAACTCCATCAGCACTTCCATTATCTCCAACTTCCTCATCATTTTTCAATTCAAAAGAGAATAAAGCTGGTATAGATTCATCTCTTCCTGTCACCAGTTTCCCTGCCTCATCACATTTTATTTTTTTTTACCCAATTCTAGTTTGAGCCTTCATATATCAAGACATCTCTCCTAATCATAAGCTTTTTGGAGCTCAGCATATACACCCGATACCCCTTTCTTTCTGTACTATAGCCGACGAGAATTCCAAGCTCTCCTTTGTCATCTAACTTTCTTCTTTTTTCATCAGGAATTAGGCTGTAACAAACTGAGCCAAAGATCTTGATGTGGGTGGTCTCAGGCTTCCTACCATGCCAAGCTTCAAAAGGAGTTATCTTCTCTAAAGCACGAGTGGGCAGCTGATTAAACAAGTAAACATATGTGTTTACTGCTTTAGCCCAGAACTACTTGGGCAAGTGTTTGTCATTCATCAGACATCTCCCCATTTCCACCACAGTTCTGTTCTTTCTTTCAGCAACACCGTTTTGCTGCGGTGAGTAAGGAGCAATAAGTTGCCTTTTGATCCCTTGAGAGATAAAAATCCCTGAATTCCTATGAATTATACTCAAGTGCATTATAAGTTCTTAACATTTTGAGCAAACACCCATTTTCCTTTTCTGCAGTTAATTTAAACTACTTAAACTTACCAAACGCTTCTATTTTATTTTTGAGAAATCAAACCCAGATCTTTCGTGTCTGATCGTCAATAAAAATGGAGAAATACTTGCTCTCATTTAAGGAGTTTTGGCTCATTGGCCCGTAAATATCAGAGTGAACAAGTTGAAGTTTTTTTGTTGCTCGTGTGCTGGCTTGTGCAAGAAATGGTGTTCTATGCATCTTGCTCATTTGGCATACACAACAGACAGTGTTGGTTTCACCCAGTGAAGGAGGATTGAAACTCAGGTTCTCAATTTGCAACTTCTTCAAGCCGGATAGATGATAATGTCCAAACCTTCTATGCCAAATTTCACCCTCATTTGCACTAGCATAGGAGGCCATGTGTGCTGGCCTCTTCATACACAGCAGGTAATTCTGATTTATCTTTGGTGCTATTTCGATCTGCTTCCCATCAGGATCATAAATCCTGCAGTATTTGCCCTCAAAAAGAACCTTATACTCATTATTTGTCATTTGATTCACACGTAATAAATTTTGCTTTAATGTAGATACAAAAAGCACATGAATAATATGTCGTGTACCTAAGTGAGTATTCACAGAGACAATGCCCTTACCTTCTACATTCTCGAACTTGCCATTTCCCAACCTCACTTTGTCTTTCAGAGCTTTGTTTAGATAGGTGAACATGGACTCGTTCTTGCACATGTGGGATGTACACCCACTGTCAACGATCTATTTTGTATCATCTTTGTCTATTACTTCATTTGAGGCCACATACAAGTTTGGCGAGACTTCACCAGTTGCTTCGGTAATGTTTGCTTGCTGAGGTTCTCCTTTAGGTTGGCCTTCATTCTACTTCTGCTTCAGCCTATAATTTCTTTCTTTGTGGCCAAACTTTTTATAGAAGTGGCACTGAATTGCCTTCTTGTCCTTGTACCAACAATCCTTTTCTAGATGGTTGGTCAAGGTGCAAATTTTGTAAGGAAAAAATTTTGATTGCTTACCTCTGTTTTGGTTTCCTTATTGCTTCCCAGTTGAGCTTTTTTCTCCAGTCTGCTTTCCTTTGTTCTCAATTCCAACTTTGGCTTTTATGAACAAGGCTCCTTCTGTGTAATTGGTTTCCCTCATATTGGTTCGCTACTCCTGCGAATCCAGCTTATTGATAAGCTCAGCTGCAGTGATGGTATCAATATCATTCAACTCCTCCAACACAGAGATTTTGGACTCAAACCGAGCTGGTAAACTAATTAAGATCTGTTCTACCACCCGTGAGTCAGGAAAGTTTTCTCCCAGCAGCCTTATCTTGTTCACAACATCCATCAGCTTTGTTGAATATTGTCTTACTGTTTCATCTTCTCTCATTCGCAGCATCGCAAATTCTCCTTTCAATTTTAGCAACTGTGTTCTTCTGTTTCTGGTACCACCTTCAAACTCTTCTCTGATTTTGTCCCATGCAGACTTAGAGTTTTGTAGGGCATGATCCTACTAAATACCACATCTGAGACTGCTGAGTGAATGCAGGTAAGCGCACAGGGTCTTTTCATAACCTACAATTTTGACATTTATACAATATTTATTTTACACACAAAAAAAATTATATTAATTCTAAATTATATACAAATTAAAATTTTTAATACCTAATATTTACTTTATAAAATGAAAAACTTTGGTCCCACAAAATATCTAACAGCTTTAAGAAAAAATATCTTGGAAAGCTTCTCCTTTGGCAAACTTTCTTTTTTGGAACATTAATTTTGAGGGCGCCATTCTACCAACTCAACTAATTTCATTAAAAAAAAACAATTCCTAATTATTTTATAATATTTAATTTAATAATATTAAATTTTTATTGTATGTTAATAAAATTATAATTTTATAAATTTATTATGTTTTTAGATTAAAATAATATTTTATAATAATTAAATTTTTTTATAATTATTATGAATTAAAAAAACAATAATTATTATGATTTAAAATATAAACATTTCAAACATAATGTTGAGAGCACTTTCCAAAGGGATTGAGGAATCACATAGACAACACCATGGATTAGAAATTATGACAAAACCTTGAGTTTAAGAGTTAAATTAATTTACTTAATTTTATTTATATACTTAAATATACATTGCAATTTTTCTTGAATACAAGTTAAAAAATATATATATATTGATAGACTTTGCACAAATTAAAATCCAAAAAAATGGTAACTCAAATTTTGATATTATATAAAATAATAAATGGAATTAATTACTTAAAAATTTAAATC